TCAATTTAATGACATCATAACCTCTCCGCTTTATATTATCTCTGGTAGAAGCAGAGCCCTGCAGTTATAAAAACTGAATCATGCAGATATAATAGATCCACAGACTGTCAACAACGCAGCACTGGATGGGATTCACATTTAAAGTAAAGACGGTGAAGTGGTGCTTCAAGAAGGAAAAAAACCAAAACAAAGCATGCAGCGGTTGTAATGAGAGCACATTTGGTGGGTTTTCGATGAGTCAACAGGGGTTACATCTCAGCGGGGGGGGCAGAGATGGAGAGGAAGAGAAATAAATGTTACATAATGCAAAAGGGCCCGTCCTTCAGCTCAATAACAAGGTGCTACGCTACATTAGCTCCTAAACCTCCATCCTGCACAGATTCCCAGGAGAACCAGATGTGTTTCCAATACATTTATTCCAACATGGCACTAAGAACACACACACACACACACACACACACAAAGGTACAGCCTGCAGGTTGTTGACTTCGTCTCACGGAGACCAAATACTAGCAGATACTCTTAGCACTCACAATATCAACTCTGGTCTGGGAGTAAAAGATCTGAGAAGTGTCTGAGTCATTTCGCAGTTTTTTTTCTAACAATCAAAACAGTTTCAGGTTTTGACTTTCCTAAGCTTTCTAACAATCAAAACAACTCATTTTTGTGTTTCAGGTTTTGACTTTCCTAAGCTTTGCTGGCGATCATCGTGCTCGCTGTGTCCTCCCAGCAATAGATTTCCGCCCCCCAATAGGGGCCCACCCCCCACTTTGGCAACCACTAATGCAATTCTTCCATCTCCATCTCCTAGAATGAATTATCTAAATTTTTTAGTTTAGCCAAGTATTTAAAAAGTAAGAAGGAAATAACTGGGGAAAATGTTGGTGTGGAAATTCAACAATATTAAGATGAGTATAGACTGGAATGAATCAGGTCACGACCCTGATGTCAGTGCTGTTGAAGTCAGCAACTCAACCTTTCATTTATTTGTTTTTGTTTTTTTTCTGATTTAATAGAGTTTAGAGCAAAATGTCAGGTTTTACTGATTTAAAATGTGTTTCATCCAGAGAAAAACTTAAAACAAGTCCATGAAAACTGTTCAGAAGATCCAGTAGTTTGACTTTCTGAGACACTGCTGGCCTCGAGCAGTGGAGAGGGAGAGGGAGAGAGAGGGAGGGAGAGAGAGATGGGTGCTGACAGTTGTTAGAGCTGAGATTCTTATAAAAATCCATCCATCAATCAGTGCGTTTACAGAAGGCCAACGAACTACAGTCGTACGTTATCTCACAGCAGCAACAACCCGTGGATCTGTGCACGGCCTTGACAGTCGGACTTCATGGTAAAGCCAGATCATGATAACCACACACTCAGCAGATTTTGTTTTTTAGACTTTTCACTACAACAGCTACATCATAATATGCAGTTGGGCCCCATTAAACAGTAAGAGTTTAAATTGATTGCACAGTGAGGACCCATTAAAATGCTATTGGAAAGTTTCCATTAAGCTGCTGATTTTTTTTCCTTCAGCTGTTGGTGGTGGTTGAGAGAGTTTCCTAATTCCATGAAAACCAGTTGTCATCTGTGCCTGTGGGACCTGGGACATCTACAGCAGATGAACCAGGGAGCTGATCTACACTTCAGGCTCTGATGTTTTAAGGCCATCTTCCCTCCTTTGATCCACAGAGGCAGTAAAAACGTAGATAACATCTGTCTGTCCCAAACATAACACAGGAGCTACAGAAGCCATTAGCAGCACATTCTCATATATCTAGATGACACGGCGCTAAAGTATTACCTTGACTTATTGTGAAGATAATGAATTTCTCCAAAAAGTTCAGAGCCATATCCAAGCAGTGAAGTCTGGCTCTGCTCCATTTCCTGTGCTTTTATTTAAATCCCCTTCGGCTCCTCTCACTGTGTTTCATCCTATCAAAAGAATCTTTACTGGTAGGTTATTGCAAAAAGGCAATATAGATTCCAATTTAGCCTTCTGTCAAATGGTAGGGGCTGATCCAATTCGTCTTCCTATCAAGTCATACTTTAGCCCATGGTAATAGACTGTGGCAGACCCTATAAATAAAAAGAAATATATATATATATTTATATAAGGTTGTCCTCCAGCGGACGGGGTAAATGAAACGGAGCTGCCATTAATTGAAGAGACAAATAACGGAGATTATACGGCTTGGCTCACAATGACCAGCATTTTTTTTTTATTGTACGCAATATATAAGCAACTGCACACATTAACTCAACTGCTCACATTAAAGTGGTTCTCAAAGTAAGGGGCGGGCCCCCCTTATGGGGCACTGAGCAAGTGAGAGGGGGCACAACAGGGCTGCACCAGAAGAAAGGGACTGAGTGACGTTAACCAAGACTCAGAGATGATAAACTAAATCGTGGTACCGATGATAGAGGAACAATTCTCACAACTGTTAGAGTCTGAGATGTTTCAATGGTTACTGATGTCGTTTTGTTTATGAAATATAACTCTCTAGTATTATAAGAATTATTTTCAAACTGACAAAAGTACAAAATAATGTTTGGCAATTATCAATAAACAGATGGGAAGAAAATACATATATATTTTACCTGAATTCACCTCACAAGAACTTTGGTTTGTTGAACACATGCTGTAATCTCACAACTTCTTCAGAAAAAATGTCTCACAAAATGTCAAATAAATTCTTAATTGGTCAAATTAGTGAGAACAATTAATCATCGTATCATTAATCATTGATGAGTCAGATTTTGTAGTTTCCGTCCTCAGTGAGATACGACCGAGTCTTGACGTTGAATCTCAGAGTGAAATATATGAAAAAGATTGAAGACATATATTCAATAGCACCTTCTAACATAGATCACAATAATCAATAAATATATGTACATATATGTACTGTACTCATATGAAAGGAGCAGTAACGTCTCTGTCATCAACAAGTGGCTGATCAACAACCTGACGCCACCCGTCGGGGATTAACAGAGCAGTTGTAGCCACTGTGGTCAATTTATGCACAGATGTCGCTGCCAAAACTATAAAGCCCTAATTATATCCAATGACTGATCGTCATGAGGAACCTGGGGTGAGAGCCAACAATGCCTTTTGTTTTCTCTTCATAATTCACCCAGGCCTTTACGACCTACAACGATGGGAATCTGACGCTCCATCGATGACATCACGGAAATCTACGTCCCAAAAATGTGTAAATATTACTGAAGACGCAGGAGGATGACCGCTCTCAACAACATGTTGACCACCGGTGGTCAACACTGGACTTCATGAACAACACTGTATTTACAACTGTATTTAACAAAGAAATTAAAAGCACAGATCACTGCTATTTTGTACAAACAGAGAAACAGCTGCACTATAATTAAATATATATGTATATGTTTATATATAGATACATATAAAGACATACATATATGTTAATACCTTTAGAAAAACATATTTAAATGTTTTAAATACTTAATTGTAGGGGAAGAAAGATGAATGATCAGAATCCTCTAATGATAAAACCAGGCGGAGAATCAAACGTCCAATCTTAATTAAAGCTGCTGTTTTAATTTTAGGTAATGTGTGCTGGTCTGAAAAGGACGGTTAATGTATTAACTAAATAATTATCAATTACAACTTAATTATATTCATGTAAAGCCTTTCAATTTGACCAAGAGACAAATACTTTAAGAAGTACACACAGGTTTTCTCTACTTTACTATGTTCTAAAACTGCTGTGTGGTAAAATGTGACACAGGATTTCACCGCTTGTTAAATTTCTATACGCTTTACTTTCTTTTTCATTTTTCTATGACGGCAGTGAACAAAAAGATTCAGATCATTGTTCACAACATTGTTGGTTTTTCAAAGGTGTGAAGAAGGAAACGTCTTCACAGCTTATTTTGTCTCTATAATTTATTGATAAAACTCCAGATCATTTTACTGTCATTGAACGCATCACGTAAAGGCTCACTGTGAAGGAATTACTGGGAATTACTCTCCAGGGAGTTTTCCAGCAGGACTGAATGTACGGACGGATATGTGATAAGAGCGGCTACAGTTTAAGCCGAAGGTGGAACCTGAGGACGGACCACTGCCAAGACGTCTGGACATCAGCCCGAGTTAATGCCATGTGGAAACTGCTGAGGATGTCCTTACAGTTACATATGCTGAATAGTGGAAAAGGATAAAGGCGACGGCGTCTACCTACACACACACACTGGATTAGAACGCTAATGCAGTTTCTGCAACTAAAGGAAGTTACAGATTGGTGAGGCACTCTGGGTAAATTTAATATAAGTCCTGGCCGCCGTCCAATAAAAAAGGGCTCAACCGTATATTCCAGTTTCAGGATGATTGTGCCTGGGTTTTTTTCATGTAACACAGCTCCAAAGTTGATCGCTTTGTATATATTTTAGGGATTAGTTGTGTTAAAACACTGTCTCCCCTCGCCTCACCCCCCTGACTCCCCCCCCTCCCACCCTAACCTATTGTACAAAGTAGATGACAGTGATTTGGTAAACTCTTTATCATTATCGTTTTAGAAGAAATGAATCTCAGCAGATTTAAAATAATGATAATTTTTTAACGTCACTGCACTCTTACAGCACAGATGTAACTATGCTACAGCATTAGCCACAGTAGAGTTACACCTGGTGGACATGAAGTGCAGCTGCTACTCGACAATAAAAACAAAAGTAAGTAGCCACTTGATAATTCGCAACTTCCGTAGCTTTCTGGTCTTTTTTATTAAAGGTAATATTATAGTTCCTATAAACAACAAAGGTAATGTAGTCAAATTAGTTACTACATTAATCTAGTGCTGAAGAGTGGTTAGTCTATGGTTATGATGACGTTAACAATGGTCTTTTAGATCATCTGACCCCAGTCTTCAAAATCCAGATTTTCACACCAAATCACTGCAGGCTGTTCTAATAGGTGTTCAAATTTGAAATGAAAGCATTTCATTGGTCAACAAACAGCAAAGCATGGTTTGACTTACAAGTTTGATCTGTTTCATCTGAGTCGTCGGGACAGTCAGGCTCACCATCACAGAGCCAGGCCTCTGGGATGCAGGTTTTCCGGTCAATACAGTGAAACTCCCCAATGTCACACAGAATGGCTTCTGAATTAAATGAGAAAGAGTGGAGAAACACAAAGAGGGAGGGAGGGAGGGAGGGGAGGGAGGGAAGGAGGAGAGAGAGGGGGATGCAAAAATAGGTGATGATTCTCAGCATGTGGGAAACATGAAAACATGAAAACACATTTTCATGTTTGAGAAAATCTGCTCTCTGTTTCCAGAAAGACAAACCCCTGATCTGGAGGTAGAATGGAACATGGGTTAGTGAGTGGGACAATGGCTGCACCTGGATGTTCTCAAGGACAACTCCACAATTAATGGATCTGGTGAAAAAAGAAGTTGACTTTTCCATGAGCCGTGGTCGGATGAAGTTGAATCAACGTGAAAACGTCAAGATCCTTCTAAACGATTTTCTAAACGATTGTGTGTACGTTCAAAAGCCTGCATCTTCCTTTGTCGGCGACACTTCTTTTGAAAAGCACTATTCTTTGACAGAGCGGGAGGCCATTTTTTCTCCCCTTCCTATAAAGCAGAAACAGACAGCGGAGATGCATTATGATTTTGACAGCTCGTCTGCTCCAACAAAGACATGATGTCCTTCACGCTTTGGCAAACTATTACAAAGCGCCTTGGCAAGATTGTTGTTATCTCTTTGCCTCCTTGGTGTTTGGAAACGGGGGGGAGTTCACTGAAAGTCTGGTGAACCAAAACGCCATCATAGCCTTTCAATACAGCAAGCATCCGTCAAAGTGTTGACATGTTTCCTGCCGGTAGCTGTCAGTGACTGAGCTCCATCATTTTGTAGTTTGACATAAGCCTCTGCTGAAGGTTTGACACCACAGTCTGACCTGCCTCCACTTCTCGTCAGCATCCAGCTAAAATAGTCATTTGCTTCTTTGTTTAACCCACGGTGGAGTCTTGTAGGCTGAGGCCAGCCCTTCAAATTGTTTCTCCAATATCCATCATTTCTCAGTGTGTTCCTAACACATTAGTGGTGGGAGTGCAGTAAGTGGAGGATCAGGTCGGCAGCGTTTGAACAGTGGGAGTGATAATTCAGCGTGTGGCCGCTCTCTGCCCCGGAGCCCTCCAGCAAATTCACTACCCTGGGACAAATCTGAAAAGGTCAAACATCTCATCCATTTTACCTCTTCCCTTCTCACTGACGCAACATATCTGAAATTGCAGGATTTAAATCAACGACTCACGTTGATATTCAAAGCCTTTTTCTTCCAACATGTAAAGAGAAGCCGAAGAGCTGCACAGAAAGTCCATGGAACTTTGAAGGTTGAAGTATAAAAAGATTACACGTTTTCATCATAACAGACAGTGACGGGTGTCAAATATTTCATACTAAAAATCAGTATTTTACTTGTAACTATTGGAGTGTAGCAACATAAACAAAAAATAATACGTACTGTATCAATAGAAATGTCAACGTTATTACAATAACTTTTTTTAAGCCTTGTAGTGGCATGGATTAGCCACCACAGGTGCAGACGGTGCCCTCCTCTGGCCACAGATGATGAAACTATTTTTTAAAATAGAAAAATATAGTATGCAATACCTCTGTGGTTGTTCTGGACAATATTTGTCCTTTTTTCTGTCATCAACAACTATAAACAACTATAGACACCTGCATAAAGCAAATATTGTGTGTATTAAGTATTACTTTACAATCTTGAGAACAAATAAAAATAAATTGTCATGTCCAAATTACTTTACAATCTTGAGAACAGATAAAAATAAATTGTCATGTCCAAATTAAACTAAAAATATGACCAATCAGCTGACAAACCTGCCAATAATCCAGACTAAACGTCTTGTTTTGATTGGTGCCTACTCATATTTTTCAAGAGTTTTGCAAACTTGGCTGCAGTTGAAGTGCTTACAGAAATCATGTTTCCGCCCACAGCACTTGACAGATTCAGGGTGAAATCCAATTAGAGTCGCACAGTTTGGAACATTAATTACGCATGTATTGTTCTTTTGAGAATCTTCGTGTATAAGCCCAGAATTTTCCAACTATATTTCGAACTAATTTTTTAAAAAATGCACATGAATAAATAAGATAGATAAATAAATAAATAAACAAAGCATCAAAGCCTTTCAGATTGCTCGGCAGAGGCGTGCTCAGTTTGCTGAAGTCTCTTAAGGGATGTCTCCTAAGCCTTTAAAGCTGAATTGATTACCACAGGAAAGCATAAGGTTGGTGACAGAAGGGCCATTGCCTGAGCTATGGTGATGGAAGAAATGGAAAAAAAACACGCCTTTGAATCTCACAGCAGCCAGGTAACCTATTGATGTTCTACCTTCTTTCATGCCGATTAACCTTGAAAGCCAAGGGGCCAAATATGAGTCACACAAATGACCTCTTTTGTCAATTCATCTCTGCCTTCTCCAAACAGCTTCTGCTTAACAGTCACCGGAGGCACAACAGTGGAGAACACAAGCAACTGAAAACTGGTAACCTTTCTATTCTTCCTCCTCCTTCACCCCATCACTCCTTCATTTGCACCAAGAAGGTAAATTCCACAACTTGTGTACTTTGAGGATAATCCCTGATAAATGTCAAATAAAAGCTGGAGTTTCTTTCAGCTGCTGGGACAGAAATGTTTTTATCATCACCACGGAGGAAGAAAAGAAGAAAAAGTGCTCACACACTCAGCTGGACATTAGTTTTCTGAAACTGAAGTTTATTAAAGCTATTTTGTCTCTAAAATAAACCATTTTCAAAAGGATAAAATTTCTCCAAAGTTCAAAAACCCAACATGTAAGGCATGTTTCCCGAGCCGACCAGGATGAAGTGTTTTCAGCGTGTTCTTTGATCGCTTTTTGTCCAGCAGACTACAGTGTGCACACACAGGAAAGCAAATCTTTTCATCCTGCATTTGAAATGCAGCATCCTCCACCCTTTTTCCTCCGCACTACTATGAAAGTCTGAATTACACAACAGCTTAGGTGTTCGTTTATCTCTCTAAACAATATTACATTCCAAAGCTATAACGCACAAGGGCATTACAGCCCCCTGAATTACATCAAACACACAGTTCACAATGTGCTACACTGGATAAGTCTTAAGCCACCAGCCCATTCAAACAAAACCTGTGTTATAACAGCAGCAGCTCAGTGCACAGCAAATTAAACGTCGGCCATGTTGTACAGCTGAGAAAAGGCAGATGTGAGAATATTCCCAAGTAAGGACTATCTTACAGTTCCAGAATGAGGAGCAGCCGATTCTCAAAGAAGCTATTTGCAGCTCAGCCGACTTCCCTGGCTTTACATAGAAAGCAGACTGTGAACTTGACAGGTCAGCGATAGTCCGTTACAGCCGGGTTCCGTTCGAGGTGGCCGAACACATCTAACAACCGGCGGTAGAGAAGAACTGAGTCTATTGTTTATAGGATTTTAAAAAGCAGAAGCAAAATCTGTGACCTAAAAAAAAAAAAACACTTTTATAGAGGCGTCCTATTTGTACCAGGACTGGAACTTTAGCAGGTTAGTTCAGACTAACCAGTTTTATCTGACAATGATCATGTTCTCAGCTGCTCCAGGTCATTATAACCTGGAGCAGCTGATCACTGGAGTAGTCTTAGTTTCTAGAAGATCTTTTGACTCTTCATCCAAGGCTGAAGAAATCCTGGTATCTGGCTTCAATCAAAGATGGTGAGTTTTTACTAACTAACTAATGTGAATGTGGTAGACAAACGTTTGATTAAAGTCCATTTAATGACTAGTCATTTAACTGTGCGTCATCTAGATTGTATTTAAACTGAAGATACCATGTTATTTTGTCAAACAGTGCCATTTTGTGAAAATGTGATTTGTTTCTTTGGGTTAAATTATAAGTTCAGCAACAACAGTTGTGAATATAGACCAATAAGGAAGCTTGTCTTTAGGACAAATACTGCAGCTTATACGTCCACACTGTTCCATCTGATCGTCACGCCTGGCTAAATCCCTCAGATGCCAAAAACAAACCGTTTATTTGGAAAACTCTGCCAATGAAAAGTAAAAGGCAAACAACAGTCAACAGCACATGTGACCTCACGATGTGTTCAAATCAGCTCACGGTGAAACGACAGCAGCTGCTCTGTAGGCTGAAGAGAAACTCCAGCTCATTAAAAGCAGTTGTGTGGGAGTCCGAGGCTATTTCACATCCTGGTTCCGTTGTTAAGGCTGCACTCCTGACCACAAAATCCATTGGGCATGCATTCGTTTGGCCTAATCAATCCTCAGCCTCACTCTCCGTCACAAACAAAGGGTGATAAGTTGTTGTTCTCCTAAAATGTTCTGCTGATGTAACAAGTGTAACGTCTGTTGGCGAGGCAGGTGAGATGTTATTACATATTTCAGAATTTTAAGAGCTGAAGTGTTGGAAAGCTGCTGGCACTTTTTATAGACCATGATGTGTTGCACCAGCCTTAATAGTTCCATTTAGGCAGTATTTTTATGTGACAGCTATCAAGCTGTTTCATGGGATGGATTCTGTTGAGATGCTAAATGGTCTGTACTTATACAGTGCTTTTCTAATCCCGTTGACCTCGCAACGCTTTTTATACTGCAGGTTTCTCTGTCTACCAACTAAAGGACAGGCCTGGAAAGAAGAGCGGGGTCAAACCTGATTAGGCTGATATTTTTTATCTCTTTTTTACTGTTTAGAAAAATATGCATTAACTTAAGGACTTGATCAATTATTCTTTTTACAGGACTGATCTGTAGCCACAGGGTAGAAGTAAGGCATGTATCATAAGAGAACAAATCCTACAGTAAATCCTACCCCTGTCTTCATCCCTGATGTTAAATACCTCCAAACTGCTGACATTGTTGACCTACTTCAATAAATTACCCCTGAATGTAATGAGACACTGGACTGCAGTAGAAAACCCATTGTACTTGGCAGGTAAGTACAAGTACCAATATGTGTAATCGAATGAATCAGGATGGTACTGATAGTGACAATGGTATTGATACTGGTGCGTCCCCTGGTCCATACATTCGACAGTAATCTGTATAGATCCCACAGCTATTGTTTAACCAGCTTAATAACAAGCCAATATATTTAATTTGCCACCCTCCCAGAAAAATACATCAATAATTTGGTGCATCTCAATGACGTCTCCCCTGCATAATGAATCTTTATTACAAGCCTCCCACAGAAATGACACACACCAGGTGGTATTTAGACTTAAATGTCACCCACGTCAGCTCTGATCACAGACTGATGACTGGAGCGAGTGCAGTCTGTGGACTGATGAACAATTTTAGCATAAGGTTTTTAGAGCTGTGTCCAAAAAAAAAAAAAAACAGAGGAAAGAATTTAAAAAATATTAAATTAAAGATTAAGTGTGTGAAGTGGATGTCAGGTTATACTGGAGACCACCCTCATTAACAGCGTCTCTGCACTGAAGCTATGAAATAAGTAATCAATGTTTTAAGACGTTGTGGTTTTTATGAGACAACCCTGACCTCCCTCCAGAGAACAAAGTCATTTTTATCTTCTTTTTTTTTTTTTTTACTGTGGCACAGGCTTGACAACAGGCACTAGATTCTAGTACTTGTTGACAAGCCTGTCCCTTCTAGTAACTAGAAGGCAGCAGCAGTGGAAATGTTTTTGGGTTTAAATTATGATGGCACTTTTTTTAATACTTGACCTCACATCACCTAGATACTGATTGCATTTTACTGTTGTTTAACATCAATTAAAAAACTGACAATATAAGTGAAAAAGACACAAACATATTAAAAATAATCAGTCTACTTTTAACACCACCTGGACAATCCCCCAGTAGATTTTTCCCCTTTTTTGCTGAGACAAGTACTACCCCAGATCTGGGTATTCAAACTACACAGTGTGTGTGACGAACAAAAAAAAGATGGACCAGTAAGACTGAAAAGAACTTCACAGGCATCTCAATTTGTGTGAATAAATCACACTATATGCTGATGATATGACCATTGAGGTTACAACCACTCAACATACTCGCACTTAACACATCCGTCTAAAGGCAGGAAATTGTTCTCCGTCTTGAATGTACAGTATGTGCAGTTGATTTGCATGAGAGTGTGTCATTATTCTGCCAATAATAGAAAAGTGCGCCCTCCCCAGCCTACACTCTCCTGGCCCCCTTTTCCACCCTCCACCCAAGGTCATCTAATCACGGGGTTCCTTCACAAACCTCTATCTTAACCAGCAGTAGTCTGAGGGATTTATGTCTCACTCCATGTCATGATTACCAATCAGATGGAGTAATAGCTGCTTAGGCAGACAGGGTTTCTGTCATCACTGAGGGGTGAAGTGCCAGTCAAGGTTTTTACCCAGTTTGTCCACCGCAGAGGAATACACTGTGGGACCGATCACTGCCTTGGGGGCAGCTGCCTGATTAAACTGCATTATCAGAGTGGGGGGGGCTGTTGTAGAGAAGCACCAAATCCTCAGAGGCCACTTCTGTATCGCTGGGAAAAAAACAAATCAAATGAGCTGCACGAATCTACCTTGGAATAAGAACAAGTTTGACTAAACTGAGCAAATTTATAAACGAGGCAACAGCATGACTTTGGTCATGTGGTCAAATGGGTTTTACATTTGAAGTCAGGGGTTTTTAAATGTTTTTCTCCCCCCGTCCTCCGTGGACTGAACCCAAACAAATCCTGCAAATACATTTACACCGAAGCTCTTGCACTTTTATCAACACATAAAAAACAAGATATAA